TTACACAAGTTGAATGTTCATTTTGTCTTCTTAAATTTTGAAGTTACTAATGATAAATGATCGGTTGGTGAATATCAAAGTGCGGCAAGTCTCCAGAAGAACCATCATTAAAAAATCCAGAGTAAACTGAAATAAAACCATTGCATTTCATGGATATTGTTTAATTTTTCGAGCTACACCTAAAGTCCCAATGGTCAGCAAGGACAGGAGCAGTTCAGGTTTTTCTTTCTTTTATTGGAAGACAGGGCTGGGTATTTATTTTTACAAATACTTGCGTAGTCGAGGAAATGAGGATGGAAATAAGAAAGTGCCTGATGTTTTTGTGTGCAAACACATTGAATTTTGGTTGCTTCCTAAAAATTTGCAATGTCTCAGTATTCTATCTATCATATTGCAAACAAAAGTCAAGTTGGAGCACCACACCCTGTTTTACTCTTTATGGAAGGTGGAGGCACTTTTAAGCATCTGCCAGCAAAAACCACGTTATGACTACTGATAATTTTCTCTCCCTAAGATTGTTCAAGCAAGTTAACAACAATTTTTGAGAAAAAAGGAATCGTTGTTGAATTGAACTGAGTTAAAATCCGACCCCATTAGCAGGCGAGTAACACGGCTTGGCTCTGTTTCATGCTCGTTAGCATTTATGCTTACTATGACGTTATTATTTCAAGGTTTGCTCAGCAAAAAAATAATTGGCCAACGCACGGGCTGCCCGTGCGAAGATGCGTTTTTTGCATGTTTTTGTTGCTACTCGCACCGGTTTTTTGGGCAAATGCTTCTAGCTAAACAAACTAAGACTGGCCACCAGAACTGTCAGAAAACATCCCCTTTAAAATTTCAACTTTCTAGCTTCCCTGGGCCTGAGTTAGCAACTTACTGGAACAAAATTTTCAAGGGCCCGTGTATGTTTACCAAGCATACCTGAGAGCTGGGTTCGGGCTGAATGAAACTTAGGTGGACGGGATATATCCTCTTAAAATTGCATTCCTTCAGTTTCTCAGGTACTTGAGTTATCAATTTACACGAAAAAAACTTTGGTGGGCCCGTATGTGGGTACCACGCTTGCCCGGGGGCTGGATTTGAGCTCATTAGCACCTGCTTGGACGGGGAACATTCCCCTAAAGTTTCAGCTTTCCAGCATCTCAGAACCCCGAGTTATGAATTTACGCAGGAAAAATTTTGGGGGCCCGTACCACGCTTACCCAGGGGCTGGATTTGAGCTCATTAACACCTGCTTGGATGGGGACATTCCCCTAAAGTTTTAGCTTTCCAGCATCTCAGAACCCCGAGTTATGAATTTTCGCGGGAAAAATTCTGGTGGGCCCGTACGCGGGTACCACGCTTAACCGGGGGCTGGATTTGAGCCCACTAATAGCCGCTT